AATAGGCATGAGCCGCTGATGGATCGTCTGCACTTGTTGAGTCCAAGTCCAGCTTGATTTCAGTGCTGCGCTGGGAATTTGAAAGTGCAAGACAAGGCCTTGAAGAGTATTGTCTGATAGACAGGACCGTTGTCGAGTCATGCGTCTCTAGATCAATTTTTTCTGCAGAAGTACTTTGAAGGATTGTTTTTGGGGAAAGGAGCTCAACCAATGAGTAGGTGAGAACACTGGAGTATTTTGCACAGTTTTTTGTAAAAGATACTGTATATACTTATACTTGTTGAACCAGGTGATTGTACAATGCTAATGCAATCTTACAGCTTTGGTTCATTCGTCTTTCTGGTCCAACCGAAGCCCAAGGTTTGAAGCTTCTGCAGCTCCATCGAACCTCACTTGGCCCTTTGCGACTGGCGTCTCTCGCTCCCGGCCTGGCGCGTGGCTCGGTGCCGAGGGCGACTGGAACGGGGGGGGTGCTTGAGCTCCAACAGGTCTCGGCCTTTGGACAGAGGAACCTGGAGATTTCCAAATCTCAGCGGCCACACAATAGAGGTTAAGTATTTGTTCAGAATTGGAAGGGATCTCAAGGTGTACTACCCGGGTCCAGATAGTAGATGTTAATTCTTGGGATCTCGCTAATGGTGTTCGTTACTGCCTACAAGATACTACACAAGGGTTTTGCAAGTTCTCACGAAGACGACGCACTCCAAGATCATCAGAGTTGCTGAGCACTCTCCTTTGTGCAGCCTTTGTGCATTCCTTAGTGACGTGGATTTCCAGCCGTGAAACAGAATTTGCTGTGCCCGCAACACGAAATACACGTTCCAAAAGTGGGAGGGTGGTGACTGCATAAGATGCCGCGCCTGCCCCTTTGTTTGCATATTGTCGTCGAGAGCACGTGTTCTTTGCTGTGAAACAGAATTTCCACATGATCGGGTTGTTGGCCTGCTTACAGTAGGTGATACAATCGCGCGCAAATGCCTTGGGGGTTGAGGTGGGGGGGCTAATCACATTGAGCTGCCCCAAGCAATTCTGACACTGCATCGCATCCTTTGGGCAACCAAAAGTTTGTTGCGCGCGAAGAACATCCTGCTGTTTGCTTGGCTTGTCCAGCATCCCACACCTTGCCTCACGTCTCATGAGCGTCCGACACCATACTTCATGTGATTGACGAGCATCCATGGGACTGCCTCCTAAATGCGATGCCCATCCGAGTAAGCAGATGCAGCCAAAGGCGCAGCATACATCTGCGAATGAAGGAAGAACACGTTCATCCCTGCAAATACCAAAGAACACATTTGTTTGAATCTCTTTGAATCTCAAATTAGGCGAAACACTTGCAGAGGCGTGTTGTGAGGGGTGGGTTGACCGTTTTTTGGAAGTGTCCAAAGATTGGCAGAGTCCTATTTGATCCGATCAGGTACTGTATTCTTGAAAGCCTCGCCATTCTATGCCATTCTCCGGGAGGAATTCTAAACCCCTGAGTTCAGACACGAGCTAGCAACCGTTTCAACAGATTTGCCCCTAGATGTGGATCCCACTTCGAATTGCCAAGACAGTCGGGCTTCTTCCCAGGCTAGAGGTGACTTTCAAGAGCCTTCATAACTGAGGCTCGGTGACATCTGAGGAGCTGTTTGCACTCAGAAAGCTCCTGAAGCTGGAGGAGCATTTAGAGAACCCGGGACTCATTAGGAAAGCCGTTTCGTGGTGGCTCATATTTTGTATAGCTTATACTCAGAGCTTGTATATATTGGTCCAGACCCGAGTCAAGGGCAACAAGCGGTCCCAGT